GAGCATTTTAATTGTTTTAATTAAGGAAGCATGATTATATAATGATTTTTGTATGTATTAATGTACAGCTTCTACAACACCTACTTGTAAGTAGTATTTAATAACCACAATAATGTTAAATGATTTCTGGTAAATATCTGCATGTTGTTTGATATAATTGCTTTAAATGTGCTTTATGTGTCATATTATTTGAATTTATTTAGGCTTTGGATTATAATCAGATCAAGAATTTTCACTGCTACCCTGTTATATTGCTCTCCCATTGTTATGATAACCTTATTATAATGCTTAAGAATATAACCATTGCATTGTTTTATTGGTTTAATAGTGGATATATAAAAACGCATAACATACGAAACTTAAATATACACTACAGGTTTCTAATTTTTATCCTCTCATACCATGGTCAAGCACATTGAGAGGAAGTGCAGTGCACAAGAACCATAACCCCATCTTGACTAATTACAGAGTTATTGCCCTTTGTTACTTTTCCTTGTCTGGAGCATAACTTGAAAACTACTGGTTGGAATTCAAAACAACTTCATACAATTGTCAAGCACAATAAGGGGAAGTGCAGTGCACAAGAACCATAACTCTATCTAAAGTAATTACAGAGTAATTGCCCTTCGTTACTTTTCCATTGCTTTCTTTTTGTCCGGACCATAACTTGAAGACTAATTGTTGAATTCAATACAACTTCATACAGTTGTCAAGCACATTAAGAGGAAGTGCAGTGCATAAGAACCATAACTCCATTTTGACAAATTACAGAGTTATTGTCCTTTGTTACTTTTCCTTGTCCGCAGCATAACTTGAAAAACTACTGGTTGGAATTAAATTTCATACAATGGTCAAGCATGGTAAGGGGAAGTGCAGTGCTTAAGAACCATAACTCTATCTTGACAAATTATAGAGTTATTGCCCTTTGTTACTTTACCATTTCTTTTTTGTCCAGAGCATTACTTGTAGACTAATGGTTTGAATTCAATATAACTTCATACAATGGTTAAACACATTTAGAGGAAGTGCAGTGCACACGAACCATCTTGACTAATTACAGGATGATTGCCTGTTGTTACTTTTCCGTGTCCAGAGCATAACTTGAAAACTACTTGTTGGAATTCAATACAACTTCATACAGTTGTCAAGCACATTAAAAGGAAGTGCAGTGCACAAGAACTATAACTCGATTTTGACAAATTACAGAGTTATTGCCCTTTGATACTTATCCTTGTCCGGAACATAACTTAAAACATACTAGTTGGAATTCAAAACAACTTCATACAATGGTCAAGCCCAAACTGGACATTTTTTTCACTATTTGAGGCCTAAAAGGGGGGAGCCTGTTGAAAGTGCGTTGTTTCACGTACATATGAGGTAAAGGGTTAATATGGGTAATCTACTAATTGTTCTTGACTCACATCATGTATGACAATGTTCATAAGTTTAGCATTTTTATTATGCCCCCGCCATATAATGGCAGGGGCATATAGTGTTACCCTGTTCCGTCATTCCGTCCTTCCGTCATTCCGTCCTTCAGTCATCATCAGTTTCCGTTCATTATCTTAATAACCCTTGCACATATTGAACTCAAATTTGACATATGGATATGTCATGAGAAAATACAGGTCAAGTTCGAAATTGGTCATGGTTCGAATGATTTTTGGCAGAGTTATGCCCCTTTTACATTGAAAATAATATGAAATTTCAGTTTCCGTTCATTATCTTCCCAAACGGTTTCAAAACATTCAATTCAAAATTGACATATGGATATGTCATGAGAAAATACAGGTCAAGTTCGAAAATTGGTCATGGTTCGATGATTTTTTGGCAGAGTTATGCCCCTTTTACTTTGAAAATAATATGAAATTTTCAGTTTCCGTTCATTATCTACCCAACGGTACAACACATTCAACTCAAATTTGACATTTGACATATGGATATGTCATGAGAAAATACAGGTCAAGTTCGAAATTGGTCATGGTTCGATGATTTTTGGTAGAGTTATGCCCCTTTTACATTGAAAATAATATGAAATTTTCAGTTTCCGTTCATTATCTCCCAAACGGTTCAAAACATTCAATTCAAAATTGACATATGGATATGTCATGAAAAAATACAGGTCAAGTTCGAAATTGGTCATGGTTCGATGATTTTTGGCAGAGTTATGCCCCTTTTACTTTGAAAATAATATGAAATTTTCAGTTTCCATTCATTATCTACCCAACGGTACAACACATTCAACTCAAACTTGACATATTGATATGTCATGAGAAAATACAGGTCAAGTTCAAATTTGGTCATGGTTCGATGATTTTTGGCAGAGTTATGCCCCTTTTACTTTGAAATAATATGAGAAATTTTCAGTTTCCATTCATTAACTCCCCAATGGTACAACACATTCAACTCAAACTTGACATATGGATACGTCAAAGGAATGCGCAGGTCAAGTTCAAATTTGGTCATGGTTCAATGATTTTTGGCAGAGTTATGCCCTTTCACATTGAAAATAATATGAAATTTTCAGTTTCCGTTCATTATCTCCCCAATCGTACAACACATTTAGCTCAAAACTTGACATATCGATACGTCAAAGGAATGCGCAGGCCAAGTTCAAATTTGGTCATGGTTCGATGATTTTTGGCAGAGTTATGCCCCTTTTACTTTGAAAATAATATGAAATTTCAGTTTCTGTTTATTATCTCCCCAACAGTATTAAACATTCAACTCAAAATTTGACATATTGATACGTCAAAGGAATGCGCAGGTCAATTTCAAATTTGGTCATGGTTCGATGATTTTTGGCAGAGTTATGCCCCTTTCACTTTAAAAATAATATGAAATTTTCAGTTTCCGTTTATTATCTCCCAACAATATTACACATTCAACTCAAATTTGACATATGGATATGTTTTTGGAATGCGCAGACCAAGTTCGAATCTGGTCATGGTTCAATGATTTTTGGCAGAGTAATGCCCCTTTCACTTTGAAAATGATATGAAATTTACAGTTTCTGTTCATTATCAACCCAACAGTGTTACATATTCAACTCAAAATTGACATATAAGATATGTCAAAGGGAATGCGCAGGTCAAGTTGGAATTTGGTCATGGTTCGATGATTTTTTTGGCAGAGTTATGTCCCTTTCACTTTGAAAATAATATAGATACATCTTAGGAATAAGCAGTTTAAGTTTGAATTTGGTCGTGGTTCAATGATTTTAGACAAACTTATCTTTCCTGAATGTTGGAAAAATTTTGAACTTTCAGTTTCAGCACTCATACTTTTGTGGAAATGTATATAGCCATTATGTTGGCTACAAATATGCAATATGCTATTTTTAAAAGGTTAAGACTGAATATTTTCAGTGCCTTGAACATTGTATAAAAATGGTTAAGACTGAATAATTTCAGTGCCTTGAACATTGTATAAAAATGGTTTGTGCTAACATTGAAAAGTTTTAAGGGCTTTGAACTTAGAATGAAAAAAATAATTTGTGCAAACAAATTTGGAACTAAATATTATAACATCTGAAATTTTGGCTGCATGCGGGGGCATCCGTGGCATGATGACACATTTCTAGTTTCAAAAGTCTCCCCTTCAGTTCAAGAATTTTGCTTTTAAAAATGTTATATTCTGATTACAAACAGGGATGTCCTGTGTCTGTCAGTCTCTAAAACCTGTTGCCAGTGGGATCTCTTTAAAAGAACTTGGAACTTTTCCAACAAATTTACTTGAAATAAAGAAAAGTTGAAACATTAAATATACATATTTAGCTTGAGAAAATTTGATCTTTTGATTATCTGTATAAAGATAAGTTCCTTATTAAATAAATTTTTAAGAACTTAACACATTTCTATGATATAGAAAAAAGTTCATTCATGTCTTCCACAATGGTAGAATTGAATTGCCATGACACTTTAGAATGTTGCTGACATACTTCTTGTGGGTTTCTGACTGGTAGGGGACTTAAGTTTTGCTTGCAATACTTTGATAATTTGCTTGTTTGAAATGTTAGTTCAACCTTCTCAACCACATTCAGGCCGATGTCTGTTCCATATATTATAGTTTACTTAAGATGAAATATAATTGTTTTGATGCCAGACATTTAGTTCTATGAGTCTCTGGTTTGTCTGATATTATACAATATACATATTAAGACATGCAGTGTCTTATTCTTCAATAAAATTCCCCATTGTTTTTCGTATCCTAGAAAAGACACTGGACATGCACTCCGATTTCCAGAAGATCATTTAATAATCTGTTATATATTGTTACAAATATTCCTGTATAATCATTTGTCTTCAAAATCAATTTTTGTTATTTTTTCTTTCAATACTGTATGTGTAGAAATATTCGAGGGCTTCAAATTTTCGCGATCTTTGCGGTGACATTCGATCCGCGAATTCATGTTCAGCGCAAATATTTCTACAGCAATAATTTCTTAATAGTCATATTTTTTAGCGCATCTATAGAACAATGTATATCAGTGTGTTAACGGCTGCCATAAGTTGGTATCCGAGGGATTTTACTGTTGTATAAACTGTACATGTAACATTCAGCTCTGTATTTAAATCAGTTTGCTAGTGTATTATTGTTTGACTGATATGATTATCGGATTCTTGTATAAGAATATACATGTTTGAACAATACCATTGCATCACGCTATTTATTTCATAGTCTGAGTCATAAATGTCTTGGCATCTGATCAGATTATATTTTGTTTTTTTAAACAAACAATACAAACAACACAAACAATAACGATTTTAACTGATGAAAACATGACAAACAAAACACAATTACTCAGTCAACATTTTAACAAATTCCGTGAAAAGATTATGGTCTAATTCAGTGCTGTTTAAAACTGTGAAAAAGCACGCACGTTAACGGACATTCATTTGTTTGCCATAATCTGTCCACTAGACAAATTGAATGTCTTTGTTCTGTACAATAGCGTATTGTTTGACACCAGGTGTTGAAAATAACTGTGAAGTCCCACAATGATTTATACAGTAAAAAGTATGTAAAATGAAAGAAGGCTGCTTGCGAAAACCATTGCCTAATCGTGTAAGAGTAATTTCCCTAATTTTTTAACCTGATGGGTGAGCGCAAATTTATGATTTTCTGCAGTAACCTCCGCGAATTCAAAATAGCGCGAATATTTGTATATACCCCCAAAATGGACCTTTCCGCGAAAATTTGCTTCCGCGAATTTAAATACACATACAGTATTTCTTTCAATAAATATATGAATTTTTAAGTTTGATAATTATCTTAGATTCAAGGCATGATAAAAACTATGGTGTGTCTTTAAGTCTTTTTTTAGATTCAAGAAATATAATTATTTGGGTAGCCCTGAAATATCAACGTTTTGGCACAGATAAAAACATATACATAAATATCCCCATCCCATTGCAAATTGCAATACTTTGATAATTTAACTCTATTTAAATTGCCTTGAACTAGAAGCAAATCTTTAATTGTGACTGATAAAAGACATGAATATACTTGAGCAAAATTATTTTCTATTTCAGATTGCAAATGTGAGTGTGATTGTGGGTGTAAAACTATTGTAATTGTTGGTATCGTATTTGGCATATTGGGCGCAATAGGTCTTCTTATTAATGTTGTTGGAATTCCAGCAGGTAAGTCAATTATTTCTTCTTTTAGCTAGTTGAATAGAGAGCATTAACAGAAAATCTGAAAGTGCAGAAAAATTAACGAAAATTATAGCATAAAATCTGCTATTTTCCCCTCTTTTGTCCATGTTATATCGGGACCAAAACCATGTGTTAACATAGTCACGCGCTCTTGTTATAGCCCTGTTTTACCTATGCGCAATATATACAGGGCCAAGTAAACAAAAAAAGTGACGATTTGGCCTGTTTGCCAAAGTGTTATATTGAAATTATTGATTTGAGGACCTCAATCGCATATTCAAGTAACTATGCCGGAAATATGGCGTAAAGACATGGCTGCTAATCTTGGTTGTCGCCCTTTCTAAGAAACGGACAGTTGTCAATGTAAACAAATAAATGTCATTCAGTTTAACCCTCAAATTAACTTCCAAAACAAGGTAACACAAAATGAATATGAGAAAATGTTGTTTTATTGATGTTTATATTGATAAATGCTATTTATATTTCTTTGAGAGAATAATGTTTAGTGCCTGATACACTTTTATAAACTTGTGAGCTTGAAAAAAAACAACAATTCAATCTGTAATTTCTGATAACACCAGTTGATCTTTTTTCTACCGTCAATCTGAAATCATTCTAAGAATTTCTGAGGGTCATGTTTTGTCTTGAGCAGAGTAATTTTTTGTTTTGTTTTTTTTTTCCTTGAAATCTCTTATGATAAGCTTTGTTTCGAATTTTGGAACTGTTCTGAGCATTAGAATTTCCCAAGTAGTTGGCCCCAGAAAAATAAAACGCATACGTAAAACATGTAGAATTGGATAAATACCGTCCAAGCACAAGGATTTAATGTATGTGTTTTGTATTAATCTTTTTAAAAAATTATGCTATAAAGCGTCAATGCACGTTAATAATGTGTTATAAAGTCTGCAGAGTCCCTCGGAACTGTTGCAGCCCTCGCCCTACCGGGCTCGGACACCAACCGTTCCTCGGGTCTCTGCAGACATTATAACACTAAAAAAACATGCGTTAACCCTATATTATTGTTTAACAGTTGGATATTTTTGTGAAAGTTAAAAAAACAAAAAATATTTTTGTTTTTGGCCGGGTTGCACTGGTGCAAACCCGGGTTATAGTATGGTGAATGTTGGGAAGCAGGCGGGCGGGGAAAAACTTTCGTAACAGTTTTCTCAGCAACTACTATCACAGCCTTTTGATATTTGGTATACAGCATCAACACATGGTCCCATACTGTGGGATTCGATTTCAGGTCTGTCGCTCATCTACTTCCTGTTTGCTGACTTAGTAAAATTTTCTACATTAATGGTCAATAGTAGGAAATTTTCGTAACAGTTTTCTCAGCAACTACTTATCAAAGCCTTTTGATATTTAGTGTACAGCATCAACACATTGTCCCATACTGTGGGATTCTATTTCAGGTCTGTCGCTCATCTACTTCCTGTTTGCTGACTTAGTTAAATTTTCAACATTAATGGTCAATAGTAGGAGATTTTCGTAACAGTTTTCTTGGCAATTATATATCACAGCCTTTTGATATTTAGTGTACAGCATCAACACATTGTATCATATTGTGGGATTCGATTTCAGGTCTGTCACTCATCTACTTCCTATTTGCCGACTTAGTTAAATTTTCTACATTAATGGTCAATAGTAGGAAATTTTCGTAACAGTTTTCTTGGCAACTACTTATCACAGCCTTTTGATATTTTGTATACAGCATCAATACTGTGGGATTCGATTTCAGGTCTGTCTCTTATCCACTTCCTGTTTGCACAGGAAACATAACTCCATCTTGACTTATTACAGAGTTATTGCCCTTTGTTACTTTCCATTGCTTTTTTTGTCCGGAGCATAACTTGAAGACTAATGGTTGGAATTCAATATAACTTCATACAATGGTCAAGCACATTGAGAGGAAGTGCAGTGCACAAGAACCATAACTCTATCTTGACTAATTACAGAGTTATTGCCCTTTGTTACTTTTCCTTGTCCAGAGCATAACTTAAAAGGTACTGGTTGGAATTCAAAACAACTTCATACAATGGTCAAGCACAATAAGAGGAAGTGCAGTGCACAAGAACTATAACTCCATCTTCAGTATTTATAAAGTAATTGCCCTTTGTTCCTTTTCCTTGTCTTTCTGCAGCATGCCCACTGGATTTTTTAAAAGTAAGTACAGTACCCACCTGTTTTGTAAAATGTGGGTCCAGCTTAAAAAATGTGGGTACACTTTTCCAGACAAATAAAATGATGAAAAAATAAAAGAAAAACTCATTTTATATTCAGATTTTAATAAATTAAAATGCCGCCTTATACGTGGTTTTATTAATTTTATTACAATAGATTAAGAACAGCCCTAAAATATCATATGATATTAAAAACATTCATGACAACCAAAAACCAAAATTTTCAGCGAATTAAAAAGACAAAAATATATGAACAGATCAAACAATGACAATGTAATATTTTTATACATTCAAAATAAAGACAGACATCAAGGTTTACGAAAGTCATTGGTCATGTGACATGTCAGCTGACAGTTATCATTTTCACTTGACCGCAGCGGAAAATTAGGCCATGACAGCTGTGGAATCTTCTTGATTTTTATTTGTTTTGTCGTCAATGCATATATTATACATAATTTATTATTAACTTATTTTATTTGAGAGAAATACAGGAAATTACCGTCTGCAACGTAAAAAAAAAGCTATTAACTCTTCAGAAAATTGTCAACCATGATTTACAGTATTATGACGTAACACACAGGTGCTCAAATTTGTCAAGCGTTTTTGGCTACCGGCCACTATATTCTGGCTATTTACCTATAGGTTGCGGACCACCAATTTATTACCGATTTTGTTCATTTACCATCGGCAATTAATGTGCGTTTTTGGACGCACATATTTTGAAAATTTTGCGTACTCATTGTATTTTCTGCGTGAAAAACGCAAGTTTGTGCATTTCTGGGCATGCTGTTTCTGGACTTATTACAGAGTAATTCAATAAAACTTCATCAATCGCCAACCACATTGAAAGGAAATGCAACATACAAGAACCACAACTATCTTTATTTGCCCACAACCATAACTCTATTTCAATTCTTTAACAAGGTATTCTGTTACTAGTAACATCCTCATTTCCAAAGCAGTCTTGTGGGGGTATTAATCACATTTAGTGATAGTTCTAGTTTATTCAGTAATATAGAAAATGGTTAATTGAATGGCAACTGGCGCATCTACTTTTTAAGCATCTATGTAAGAATTTTGAACATGATTACAGCTATAAACTATTTTGTCAGGCACTTTAAATGTATGCAGTATTGTGAAAAACTAGTGTTAATTAACTCTTTGAATAAATTTACTGTTGGACTAAAGACGTTTATTCTATTTTCCCATTAAAGATCATCATCAGAATCTATGGTACACTTTTCCAATTGGAAAAAAACTTTCTTTTTTATCGAAACAGTTTTGAAAGTGTCTTTTTTACTCAAGACTTGAAATTGTTGTACCCTTAACAAGTTTGTCTAAAAATCTCAAGCTCACCTCAAGGTGAACTGTTGTGAATAATGATACCCTTATGTCCTTCATCCTTCTTCAACAATTTTACTCTAACAATATGTTCCCCTAAACATCTTTGCCAATATTGATGAAAATGTACAGGAACATTGTTTTTGATGGAAATTGCAGTGGCTCATTATCCTAAAACTTCAAAGTTGTCTTTGAATTTGCCAGAAAATATAGAAAATAGTATCAAACCAATAACTTGTCATTCCATGGGCCCTCAGCTGTTATACTTTACAAATGCAATGTCTTGGTCAGTTGATGACCCCTTTTGTTTTGTGGTCAAAGGTCAAGGTTGCATTTTCCTTGTTTTTCAAAATGTTTCTAATGGGTAAATCTACAACCCATGAGCCCTTAACCCTCGTACTTCACATATGCATTGGTCTTGACCAATAGATGACCTCTGATGATTTTTTTGTCAAGGGGTTAAAGGACAAGGTCACATATATGTTTATGTCATAACTATGTCAGGCCACTAACTAGACAACACATGGATCTTTGGCCTTTTAGGATTTTTAGTCAAGGAGTCAAATTTCATGGTCACATTGACCTTGTATGCCATTATGTTTGCAGGCCAAATACTCAACAATCATGGGCCCTTGGCCCTAATACTTCAGAGGTGTATTGGTCTTGGCCATTAGATGACTTCTATTGATTTTCAGAGTAATGTGTCAAAGTCACATTGAATTTGTATGTCAAAACAAATTCCAACCAACAACCTGAAAACCTGTGGTTCCTCTAACCTCATACTTCAGTGGCACATTGCACTTAACCAGTAGAAAATCCCTTTAAGTTTTGGATACAAAGGTCAAGGTCACAAAAACTTTGTATGCTAAAAAGTTTACAGAGCAACATTGCATGCAACTTCAGACATGTTGAAGAAGGGACATGCATATTTCACAAACATCTCATGTGAAATTTTAAACTTATTGAACACATGATCTATATTTGTGAAAACACACTAACCTTTCAATGACTGACACTTTTGCAAACATTTTCATAGAGATCCCCCACCTTAAAGTGTACACATATTTCAGGAAGTAATGTCAGCTATTTATTATTGTAGCAAGAATGCTACATCCTTGAAAATGGGAAGTAGTGATCCAATACAGGTGTCTCCTGTGTTCAGAATTCTGTCTCTCTTCCCTACACTGAATTTTTAATTTAAAAAAGAAAATATTTTGGTAGGAATAGTCAGATGACATGCACCTGCTCAGAAACATGTGTTTGTGGTAGAATTTAAATTTCAATTTTGTCTAATTGGCATTGACATTGCTTTTTAAATGGACATAGCTGTTTGACTTTCATCATATGACATCCTATATTGTGCCATGAGTTGTAATTATGGAATCTTTAGAAGCCAAAAGGTACCATCTTCATAATAACATTGTATTATGCTAAGGTTTTTGAAGGGATATTGAAAGCATTTTAATTCTGTATGAAATATGATAAAACTTTATTCATTCTAAGTGTGCAAAAAAAATTATAAGATGTTTTTTCAAAATATGAAAGCTGACTTGATATGTTTAATATAAAAACTTACATTTCAGGATTTTTTGGTGAGAGAACACCACTACTGGTCTCTGGTGGCATAGGTATTGTCTGTGATGTAATAAGCTTGGTATTAAGCGCAGTTGTTAAGGAATGTTGTGAAGGTAAGACCAAAAATGTGAATATAATATACATACTTTTTAGCTCGACTATACGAAGTATATGGAGAGCTGTCCTACTCGCCCCGGCGTCGGCGTCCGCGTCCAGATTTTAGATTAAAGTTTTGGTGCAGTAAAATATTTTTCACTATAACTTTGTCATTTCTTAAGGTATCAACTTCAAACTTCAAATATATGTTCCTTATCATCAACCACATCTTATGTGACAAGGTTCATAACTCTAGCACCAATATTTTCAGATTTATCTCCCCTTGAACTTAGAATTTTCCTTAAAAAATACTATTTTTTACTGATACTTCTTTATTTCTTAAGGGATCAACCTCATACTTCAAATATATGTACCTTATCATCATCCCCATCTTATGTGACAAGGTTCATAACTCTAGCACCAATACTTTCAGATTTATCTCCCCTTGAACTTAGAATTTTCCTCAAAAAATAATATTTCTTACTGTTTCTTCTTTATTTCCTAAGGGATCAACCTCATACTTCAAATACATTTACGTTATCATCTTCCCCATCTTATGTGACAAGGTTCATAACTCTAGCACCAATATTTTCAGATTTATCTCCCCTTGAACTTAGAATTTTCCATAAAAAATATTATTTTTTACTGTAACTTATTATGCCCCCATTTCGAAGAAAAGGGGGTATATTGCTTTGCACTTGTCGGTCCGTCGGTCCGTCGGTCTGTCGGTCCGTCGGTCCGTCGGTCCGTAGACCAAATGGTTTCCGAGTGATAACTAAAGAACCCTTAGGCCTAGGAACTTCAAACTTGGTATGGTGATTGGTCATGACCAGTAGATGACCCCTATTGATTTTGGGGTCAAGGGGTCAAAGGTCAAGGTCATATTGACCTTGAAAGCAAAAAACGGTTTCCGATCAATAAGTTCAAGAACTTAAGGCCTAGGAACTTCAAAACTTGGATATGGTGATTGGTCATGACCAGTAGATGACCCCTATTGATTTTGGGGTCAAGGGGTCAAGGTCAAGGTCACGCTGACCTGGAAGGTAAAGCGGTTTCTGATCAATAAATGAAGAACACTTAGGCCTAGCAACTTCAAACTTGGCACGATGATTGCTCATGACCAGTAGATGACCTTTATTTATTCTTGAGTCAAGGGGTCAAAGGTCAAGGTCACATTGACCTTGAAAGCAAAAAACGGTTTCCGATCAATGACTAAAGAACCTTAAGGCCTAGGAAACTTAAAACTTGGTATGGTGATTGGTCATGACCAGTAGATGACCCCTATTGATTTTGGAGTCAAGGGTCAAAGGTCAAGGTCACATTGACCTTGAAAGCAAAAACGGTTTCCGATCAATAACTAAAGAACCTTAAGGCCTAGGAACTTCAAACTTGGTATGGTGATTAGTCATGACCAGTAGATGACCCCTATTGATTTTGGGTCAAAGGTCAAGGTCACATTGACCTTAAAAGCAAAAATGGTTTCCCGATCAATAACTAAAGAACCTTAAGGCCTAGGAACTTCAAACTTGGTATGGTGATTGTCATGAGTTCAGTAGATGACCCCTATTGATTTTGGGGTCAAGGGGTCAAAGGTCAAGGTCACATTGACCTTGTAAGCAAAAACGGTTTCTGATCAATAACTAAAGAACCTTAAAGGCCTAGGAACTTCAAACTTGGTATGGTGATTGGTCATGATCAGTAGATGACCCCTATTGAGTTTTTGGGGTCAAGGGGTCAAAGGTCAAGGTCACATTGACTTTGTAGGTAAAAACGGTTTCGATCAATACCTAAAGAACTTTAAGGCTTAGGAACATCAAAACTTTGGGTATTGGTGATTGGTCATGATCAGTAGATGACCCTATTGATTTTGGGGTCAAGGGGTCAAAGGTCAAGGTCACATTGACCTTTGTAGGTAAAAACGGTTTCCGATCAATAACTAAAGAACCTTAAGGCCTAGGAACTTCAAACTTGGTATGGTGATTGGTCATGATCAGTAGGATGACCCATATAGATTTTGGGTCAAGGGGTCAAAGGTCAAGGTCACATTGACTTTTAAGTAAAAACGGTTTCTGATCAATAACAAAAGAAACCCTTAGGCCTAGGAACTTCAAACTTGGTATGGTGATTGGTTATGACCAATCAGAGATGACCCTATTGATTTTGGCGTTAAGGGGTCAAAGGTCAAGGTCACATTGGACCTTGGTAGGTAAAAACGGTTTTCCGATCAATAATGAAAGAACCCTTAGGCCTAGGGACTTTCAAACTTGAAGATGGTGATTGGGTCATGATCAGTAGATGACCCCTATTGATTTTGGGGTCTAGGGGTCAAAGGTCAAGGTCACATTGACCTCTTAGGTAAAAAACCGGTTTCCGAATCAATAACTAAAGAACCCTTAGGCCTAGGAACTTCAAACTTGGTATGGTGATTGGTCATGACCAGCAGATGACCCCTAATTGATTTTGGGGTTAAAGGGGTTAAAGGGCAAGGTCAACATTGACCTTGTAGGTAAAAATGCTTTCTGATCAATAACTTAAGAACCCTTATGCCTAGGAACTTCAAACTTTGGTATGGTGATTGGTCATGACAGCAGATGACCTATTGATTTTGGGGTCAAGGGGTCAAAGGTCAAGGTCCACATTGACCTTGTAGGTAAAAACGGTTTCCGATCAATTAACAAAAAACGCTTAGGCCTAGGAACTTCAAAACTTTTGTGTGATGATTGGTCATGACCAGCAGATGACCCCTATTGAGTTTTTCGTGAAGGGGTCAAAGGTCAAGGTCACATTGACCTTTTAAGTAAAAACGGTTTCTGATCAATAACTCAAGAACGCTTAGGCCTAGGAACTTCAAACTTGGTTATGGGTGATTTGTCATGACCAGGCAGATTACTCCTATTGATTTTGGGATCAAGGGGTCAAAGGTCAAGGTCACAATGACCTTGTAAGTAAAAACGGTTTCTGATCAATAACTAAAGAACGCTTCGGCCTAGGAACTTCAAACTTGGCATGGTGATTGGTCATGACCAGCAGATGACCCCTATTAATTTTGGGGTCAAAGGTCAAGGTCACATTGACCTTGTATGTTAAAACGGTTTCTGATCAATAATAAGAGAACCCTTAGGCCTAGGAACTTCAAACTTGGCATGGTGATTGGTCATGACCAGCAGATGACCCCTATTAATTTTGGGGTCAAGGGGTCAAAGGTCAAGGTCACATTGACCTTGTAGGTAAAAACAGTTTCTGATCAATTTACTAAAAACGCCTAGGCCTAGGAACTTCAAACTTTGTATGATGATTGGTCGTGACCAGCAGATGACCCCTATTGAGTTTTGGGTCAAGGGGTCAAAGGTCAAGGTCATGACCAGTAGATACTTTATAACCCTTATTAATTGTTTGATCACTGGGTCAGAAGTCATGCATAATAACCTTATCACATGACTAATTGGCTGCTGATAGGGGGCATACATGTTTTACAAACATATCTTGTTTCTAAAGGGATCAACTTCATACTTCAAATATATTTACCTTATCATCATCCACATCTTATGTGACAAGGTTCATAACTCTAGCACCAATATTGCAATAATTATCTCCCCATAAACTTAGATTTTATTTACTAGAAAAATGTTATTTTTTATTTTAACTTTTTTACTTTTAAAGGTATCTACCTCAAACTTCAAATACTTATTCCTTATCATCAATTACATTTTATGTGACAGTGTTCATAACTCTTGAAGCAATATTTACAGATTTATCTCTCTTTGAACTTAGGATTTTCTTTAAGAAATATAATAACTTCTTTACTTTTTAAGGTATCTACTTCAAACTTCAAATATATATATTTCTTATCATTACACAAATGTTGTGTGGCAAGATCCATAACTCTAGCATGACTATTTCTAGAATTATTCCCCTTGATCTTGGAATTTATGTTAACAAATGTTATTTTTTTACTATAACTTAATACATAATTATACATAATTGATTTTTCTTTCATAGTTTTGTCCTCCTTACTGTGTCCAGTATTTTATTAGTCGAGCTTCGCTGTCTCCTGTGACAGCTCTTGTTTATATAGAAATTAATATGTTTACCATGTCACAGATCAAAAAACAAGAGGTTTAAGCCGGATTGTAACTTTGTCATGCATTGAAGTATTTTGAAATGACATGGCATATATGTCTACCACATCAAGACAAAGTGTCACATCCAAGACCCATGTCCCTACCTCCAAAATCAAGGTGATTAACTTGCTATGCATTGCACTTTATATCACAACAACAATATGAAGCAATTAGTAAGTCTGGGATCAGTGGCATATAGCAATTTGTGTGTATGGGTGCATGTGTGTATCCAATTTCTACTGACACTTGCCAGGATTGTTCCTTGTTTGAAGGGCTTCCAATACTTTGCAGGACTGTTCCTTGGGTTCAGGGTGAGCTTATGTATCAAAGGGGGATTTTCAAGCATCTGTCTTCCATCAACATTCATCTTCTTCTCTGAAACTCCTGAGCAAATTTACTTCAAATTTGATTTGTAGCATCCTTGTGACAGTCTCACTTCAATTTGCTCATATCATTTCAGTTGGCCCCTTTTAGGGGTCAACAGAGTTTTAAATAGAAAATATTTAAAACATCTTTTTCTACTGAACTAATTGATGAATGATCTACAAACTACTACTGTCTGTAGCAGTCTTAGATGGTCTGTAACACTTTCATGTCTGCTCCATAACTTTTTAACAACTGAAAGATTTTTGAAATTACTTGGCACTAATGATAACCATTATGAGACGATGTGCAGAGCGCAATAATTGGGTTGCTATCCTCAAGATCAAGTGTTAAAAAGTGTACATTAAAAGTCTACAATTCGTGTTTGCTCCAAAACCATTATGACGCGATGTGCAGAGCGCAATCATTGGGTTGCTACCCCCAAGGTTAAGGTCACACTTAAAGGTCAAGTATTAAAAGTCTACAATTTGTGTCCGCTCCACAACTTTTAAACTGCTGAAAATACTTTGAAA